ATGCATGAATCTTTTTCCCGCGATGCATGACTCTCTTTCCTGCTATGCATGGATTTTTCTCTTGCTATGCATGGTTTCTTCTTCTTGCTATGTATAAATCTCTCCTGCGATGCATGATTTCTTTTCCGCGATACATGAATCATTCTCTTGCTATGCATGAATCTCTTTCCCGCGATGCGCGAATATTTTTTCCTACGATGCATGAATCTTTTGATGATGCCTCCCTGATACCGAACGAAGATAATGCTTCATCGAGCAACTTAGGTAATCTTCTGGGTATCTTTTGGATGGCGGTATCTTCTCAATCGACAATATAAATAAAAATGACTGTCGCACCCTATTTCGAACAAGCCAAAACAGTTCACAACATAATGTGGCTGACACTCTGATTTTGGAAAAATTGCTTTTGTTTTTGGTTTTAGAGTCGCCACCTAAATTTTAAGGAAAATATTAGGAAAACCATTTCTTTAAATATGTAAATGTAACTCTGTTTTGATTTGCGAAACCTGTGAGATTCTGAGTAAGGGTTTTGGTTACTCGAGGGGAAGGTGTTAAGCAGCCCTCAGAGCCTATCCGAAGATAGTCCTTAAACTCAATTTAGGAAAATATGATTAGGAAAACTTGTTTATTTGTTTCCGTTTAATGATTAAACGATAAGTTATTAGTTAGTTTAAGATGGTTTTAGAGTCGCCACCTAAATTTTAAGGAAAATATTAGGAAAACCATTTCTTTAAATATGTAAATGTAACTCTGTTTTGATTTGCGAAACCTGTGAGATTCTGAGTAAGGGTTTTTGGTTACCTCGAGGGGGAAGGTGTTAAGCAGCCCTCAGAGCCTATCCGAAGATAGTCCTTAAACTCAATTTAGGAAAATATGATTAGGAAAACTTGTTTATTGTTTCCGTTTAATGATTAAACGATAAGTTATTAGTTAGTTTAAGAAAATGGTACAATACAAGGTACGACATATATATGTCTTATAAAATATATTCAATAGTAGTATTGTGAAATAAATAAATAAATGTATTTAAATATACGATATATTCATATGTAAAAATATATATAGATAGGTGTATCATAATAAAATTATCCTAAAAATATATAGATGTTGAATTTGCGAAAATTTGTCGTCTTATCAAGACGTAAAAATAAGATAGTAGTTGAGTGTAAATATGTAGTAATATGTGATGTGTAATTTGAATGAAAATATATAGAATGGAGTTTTCTAAAATAAAATAAAATAAATGATACTAGATGTTAAAATATTAAAATATTATATAAATGTTTGTGATCTTAAGTATGGTATGTACACATAGGTTGTCTAAAACATATGAATATTCATTATTTATTTACATGTTGGGAAAAATTGACAATAGATTATATGTAGTAAAATAATATGTATGTGAAAGTGTAGGGATTTATAAATTATAAAATAAATAAATAATTTCGTAAAAGAGATAGTAGATATGAGAAAAATAATATAAAGGGTAACAAAATACTAAGTCATGTATAGAGAAAACTAAATATAAAATATAGAATTTATACCTCTTATGTGCATGCATATATATGTATGCACCTTGTATTTGAACCTGTTGGCATATCTAAAATTTTGAAATAACATGTTAAAAGATTAGAATTTTTAGCAATGTTTGATCCAAAAGTAAGAATAGTCAATATACTTTATAAAGGGGTGATGTAAAGAGTATAAAAATAGGCTTAACTATTAGGACTCATTCTATAGTCACATTTGAAAAATAAAATAAAATACATAATTCTACAAGTTAATTATTTTTAGCTTTTATGTATCTCTAAAGGGTTAATTAAATTTGGTCTTTAAACTAGTTCCGGATTTATTTTGAGGTCCTAAGCAATGAGTAGACCTAAATGAATATTATTTTAGCGCTTTTAAACTTTATTTGGACATCTTTTAAAACTATAAGCCCTTCTTTTCAACTTAAGAAGCCTAAAAGAATGTTATAAGTAAAGATGCTAACCCATTTTTTTAAAGAAAATATCTTTGTATCATTTGTTCTAAAGGTATCTCAACTAATTTCATAAACAAATAATATCAGTTCGCGTAAAATAAGCTTCAAAAATAAAAGACAAACAATATATCAAAACTTGCAAGTAAAGGTTAGCCAATATATCCAAACAATATAATTAAGACTCGAAAAGAGTAAGGCTAAGAAATATTGGATTCCTAATTTGCGAGACTCCAAGCGTTGTGATGATCCTAATTGTTGTTGGCCTAATATCTTAGGCCAATAACGAGTTCCAAAGTAGAAACTCCAGCTCTCCGATTGTACATGAAATATGAGAAGATAAAAGGAAACAAATTAGCAATAACAAAATAGAAAAATAAATATTAGAAGCAAGTAATTTTCTTAAACAGTGAGCTTTGCAAAGGATATGTGATTACTGTAATATATGTTTTAGCCTGAATACTTCGAGAATTCAGACATGTCTTTTTACTATCAACTAAAGATAAAATATGGCAGACATATAGAAACATGCTAATACAATAAATTAGTGAGAATCAAGAGACCTACAATCAAAAATTCCAAGGTTGGGGAGTGAGACTTTTACCATTAATATGACTTGGTTACCAACAATACACTCCATCAATGTGATTCTCTAGTAATCCTTAAGAAAACTTTTATGAACAAGAGAACTAAAAAAAACGTGATGATGTCATGTTATAGTGAATTACGGCCCCTTTTATTATAGTTATAGCATTGCGCAAAGATTATTTAATAAGGACTAGTTCCTTTTATTTTCTAAAGGAAAATAATTGAAGCATCCTATGGACAAAAGATTATTTCCAAGTCAAAAAAATTTAACAGAGGAGGAAACTATTCCTATGAGTGTAGCGATTCGACAAGAATCTGATATACTTAACTAAGAGATGCATAACATAAACTTGGTTCATCACATGACATGAGCTCTACACCTTCATCACAACATACTTTCTAGTTGTACTAGAATGATTCCAGTGAGAAGTCATTTTCAAACTTGACAAGTTTATTCGATAGTCCCTTCAAGAGTTGTCAGCTATATCGATCAATTTACGCATATACTTGTTTTACTTTAAAAAGATATATACAAGGAAAATGATTGAGTTTTTTTTTAAAATCGATTAAACTTATGATTTAAGCGAAATCGAATTTCCAAAATGACAGAGTCGCCACTTAATTTTTTAGTAAAAATCAAGAAAAAAACATAAGGTTTTCAAAAGATTTAAACAGATAAAATCAATTGAAAATAACAGGGTTGAAGTTCAATGTACATTCCGAGAAGGTGTTAGGCCCTCGGAATGCCCGCTAACTTGCGGTTGACCGGCGATTTGACAAAAAATGATTTTGACTAATTTTGAAATTTTAACTTAAGTAAAAGAATTCATTTATTTTAACTAATATTTTTTAAAATTTAACTAAGTAAAGGACTCACAACTTTGACTAATTTTGAAAGTTTAACGAAGTAAAGAACTCCTTTATTTTAACTAATATTTTTAAAATTTAACTAAGTAAAGTACTCACAACTTTGACTAGTTTTGAAAAAAAAAGTTTAACGAAGTAAGAGAACTCATTTATTTTTACTAAATATTTTTTTAAAATTTAACTAAGTAAAGAACACACAGCTTTGACTTTTTTTTAAATTTTTTTTTTTTTTTAACTAAGTAAATGAACTTATTTATTTATTACAATTATTATTATTTTATTACTATTATTATTATTATCATCATTTTAATTATCTTAAGGGAAATGGGACTAAAAGGGGGTTTTTCTAAGCACGGTATAAAAATATAGCTATTTTAATCTAAGTGTGTAAAAATAATGAGAAATGGCCATCTTTGGGAATTTAATTTAATTAAACCAAATCAAATAAAAGGTTAGAGGTAAAGTAAACAAAGTAAATACAATCAAAATAATAGAGAGAAAGAGAAAATAATTTGGGCCCTTTGGGCCTGTTGCTGCCTCCTTTTCCACACTTAAATCTGTGTATACATCAAACGTATACGGCTGTATACGACATGTATTTCGACCCATTCTCGTGTATATTAGGCTATATACCAAATGTATACAACCTAAATTAGCTTTTGAACCCCTATAAATTGGTTTAGGGCCTGTATTTGCTGCATTCAACCCATATATCAGTGTATACGGGCTGTACATCAGCTTGTTTTCAGCTTTTCAGGACCTGCTTCTGCTTCCGGAACCTGTATATCAATTTCCCTTTCACCCTCGAACACCAAAGGCTGACTCAATACTCGAAAATGCAAGGAGATGATGAAAGGAGTCCGATTTAGACTCTGTGAAGCATCACATGTAAAGCAAGTGAAAGGAAAGAATTAACATGGATAATTCAAGATTATCGTTCAACAATTTTGTCAATAAAGAGGCAATAAGCAGACACATATTCATCAAATAATATGCAAGTTAAGATAAGAATCACATGCATCAAATGAAATAATAACCTTTATCTTCAAAGTAAAAATAAAAATCGTATTTAGATTAATGAGATATAAGTGTATTCAAAAGACGAATCATAGAGCTAATTTGATCATTTTTGGGAAGAAAACTTATTTGTAAATATGAAAAGAGATCATTCATAACAAGTAGATAAATCCAAAAGTGACCAAAATGCAATCAACCAACGACGAACTAATGATAAGCATGCCAATGATTCAGAACTTTAAAGCAAAATGACTATTAATTCCCACATTTTGGAGGGCCATACAGCCACTTAAACATCACAGCAAACTCATCATCCAATCATCATCATAATAACATTTAGCTAGATGAATCAACTCATAAATACGAGAACCTAAATACTGAACAAACCAACGATCCTTGTGACTAAACTACTCAATTGGAAACTTAGAAAAGTATGATAATTAAGCACAAACGGAAACTACAGCCTAAGAATCATTAAACTAACAAATTCACATGTACACCAAGCAAAGAGAAGTATACATAGGTTTAAACTCAAAAGCCAACTAACCAAACAGTTCATTACTAACTTACAATAGCAGGATATAAAGAGCTGAAGGCAGAACAATCATTTCGGAAACGAAGTGCTTGCCAAACTTAGGTTAAAATATCTTATTCGGAACTGAACATGTAGGACAACAAATGATTCAAACAAGACTAAACTTGTAAGTTAGTTAGTACACAAAAATAGGATAAAACTTAGACCCAAAAAACAATATGAACTTCAATATAACCTTAGGAACACACAAATTGATCCTGTAACCTCATCCCAAATACAGTAATGACAATCGAATGCAATGACCATCTTCACATAGAGATACCTCATTCAAGAAACTAGAATGGATTCCTATCCAAAATAGTGGAAATTGATATTCATTGAACAAAAATAAGGCGAGTTTATTACCTCTTGTAGTGCAGCAAATCTGGGACAGACGAGAAGAGCACAACTCCCACCACGACTACGAGCTTAACTTCGCCGGAAACGAAACAAGAACAATACGAACAGTGATTTTTAGTTCCCAAAATGTCTGGGATTCGGATAGCTTTTAATTTCTCTAGCAAAAATTATTTTCTGATGAACAGTTGTATATTCTTCTCCTTCGCCCCCCAAACAGTGACTAAGAAGAGAATATATATAAGGGATTATTAGGGCATATTTTGGGGGGAATCGGATGGAATCCGGATGAGAATCGGTTCCATTCGAAATTCAAATTTCAAAACCTTTCACCATTGAAGGGAGGCATGCTTTTTCTGAAATTTTTGCCCTATTCCGGAAGGGGAAAGGCCGAATCGACGTCTCAAGTCGACTCTAATGTCCTTGAGATGCCACGTGGAGCGATCTCACGTTGGCAAGGACGAAAACGCGTGCTTGATGGCTGGAAACGGACTGCTGAAATCGCACAGTGGAGAGGGAAGTTGAAGCTGAAGACGTTGTACAGGGGATATGTACTGTTTTGGTATTGTAATGTTGCTGTTGCGTCTGTTTTTTGTTTTTCTTTAGTATAGGATTGTTGGTCTTGTTAGAGGAATTGTGTTCGGGCTGGGAATGAGTTTCTTTTTAGCAGAAAATAATTGGGCTGGGAATTAAGATTGGGTCTGCTGAAATAGTTAGAGAAAAGGCCCAAAATTGGTCCAAAAGGTCCAAGAAGGTAAGTTAGATTGGAATTTAGGAAATGGCTTTACGGATTGCGAATTCGGCCAAGCTAATTAAGAATTTAGCCAAAATCGGATGAATATTCATGAATTCGGCTAAATTCTAAATAGGATGAATTAATATTAATTAATCAACAAGCTTCTTAATCTCAACGAAATAAAATAATTAACTCAAATGTAAACTAAATAATTTAAAATAATAGCTATTACATAACTTAAACTAATGCACCAAATATTTAATTAAAACAAAATCTTTTTGAGGATATTTTTTAATAATCATAAAATATACTAATCATATATATAATTATGTAAAACATATATATTATCTAAAGATTATAAAAAGTGAGAACACTATCTTAAAATAACTTGCAAACTATATATATTTATTTATTTTAAAATTAGGTGTCAACAATACTTATAGTAAATGAGGAGGGGACAATCAGATTCAATCATCAACACTTGAACAAGCCACTAGAATAATATATAAATTATATTTGATACAGACTGAAACTTAACCAAAGACAGGGGTGATAGATGTTATATTCAATTACAAGACAAGCCGCAAAATTTGAATTGCAATCACATTCCTAAACTAAATTTACAAAGAGAAGCCGCACATATGGAATGAAAGACAAACCTACGCAAACATGAAATAAGTTTAAATCAAAGTAGACTTATGTCATTCTTAGTTGAAACTTGTGATATCTTAAACGAGCATTAACTTTAACGGCTTCTTGCTATATATGTTTTATTTTTTTGTATTCAAGAAACATAAGAAAGTAAACAGGCATGATTTTTTTATGAACAAAAAGGATATGAACCCGAGAAGGAAGATAGTACAGCACATTAGAGTTGAAATAAGCATAAGAAACATCCAAGCCAAGCCTAGTTAACTAACTCAGGATTTAACAGAAAACAAAGTTGTTCCAAGCTTTAAATCAGATCATGAATCCTAACGAATAGAAGAAGAGAATAACTAAGAATGACGTCTAAATTTGAGCAGCTAAAGAAAGGGAATGCAAGAGTTATATAATCAGATCAAACTTGCTAGTAGTTGGGGGGGCAACGAGAAGAACTTTAGATTAAGATAAACAACAATGATTCTGCCCATCTTTTAATTCACTCTTAATATCAAAATAGAATCTAATCTAACCAATATACCACATGCTCAGGCATCTGAAGAATTCACTATCAAACAGATGCTAGTTAAAAATTTAGTAGAGATCGATTTATATTTCATCCAAACTAGCAGCCTGCTTCTCCTATTAACGTGGATTAAAATATGATATGTTGCCTAGAATCAGTAACACAAACATCAATTTAGCCTTAAGACTAAAGCCTTTTTCACATTCAATATTTCCAAATTGTATCTATATTAATAAAATTTGTTAGTAATAGCCTCATTGCATATTTATATGGCAAACGTTCCAACAGATTGCATTAAGACCAAAATGAAATGACGAAAAAAATAGTACCTTTTGCTGAGCAGCAAACTAGAACTTCGACGTCAAGATTCTAACTTCCAACTTTCTCAAACTCGAATTCAAGACCAAAAATCGAAAGATGAGAGAAGATATAAATTTTCTTAAATCTAATGCTTGAAGTCTGTTCAATCTCCCTTTTTCCGTTTGTTTTTCGCCCCCCCTTTGAATGAGAACCAAAGGGCTGATTTTATAATCGAATTTGGGGGGAAGGCTTCCAATCTTACAACCATCAGATTGAGGGGATAACGATCTCAAATCCAATGGTCCTTCACGTTCTTCACCGCTTCAGTCGTAGCAGCGGCGGTAGTGTGGCTTTTTTAGGCCTGCCGTGGTTCAGAAAAAGATGTAAAGTTGACATGAGGAGGACATGATTGATGGAGGGTAGGGATGGACCTGGCCAAAAACCACCGGAAATTGCCATTTTCTGGCGGTTCATAGCCATTCTTTGGCAGATATTGATGGGAAAGGGGCGTGAAAGGATCCTGGGGAAGAAGGAAAACGTTTTGGGGAAGGAAAATTTTTGGGGAAAAGAAGAAACAGACGTCTGGGGAAGGAGGAGAAAGTTTGAGGCGTGACTTCTGGAAAAAAAAAAAAGTGTACCGGTGATGGAGTCTCTTTTTTTTTTGAAAATGTTAAAAATGTCTTGTTTAATTTGGGCCGTTCGATCGTTTGATCGGACGGTTAAGATAAATCAGGAATTAAAAGAAAAAAGTTATTTTATATATATATATATATATATATATATATATTTATTGTAGGGTCAAGATTTAAGCTAAAGAAACACAATCCATGTGCTCGCCTACATGGCATGCACGGATTGGCTAGTTTAAGGGGACTTGGATAACCAAAATTGTTCAAATTAAATTCATTTAGATTATAACCTCTCCTTTATTAAATAGTCATAATTTATTAAATTAAAAATAATTATTTTGCAAGATTAGCTTGTTTGATAAAATTAGTCACTCTTAAAAATTAAATTAATATAAATTTAGTAACTCTATTAATTAAATAAAACTTTCTAATTTTAATAAATGTACGAAAAATATCCATTGCGACAAAAATAAAGTTATATTTGAACACAACTAGATTCAACTCTTTAAGAACGACGCTGATAAAAAAAAATGAGAAAGTAAGTAGTGATATAATATATTTAATTTTTATAAGAAAAAATGAAATAAATTTATGAGATAATTAATAACTAAAAATATTTTGTGTTCCTACAATTAATTTCATAACACATATATTATTATTATTATTATTATTATTATAGTTAAATGTGGAGAGCCTAAATTGGGTGTCAACAATGACCCTCGGAGTAGTGGTATCATCTCATTTGACAATACAATATAAATGACTCTCCGGGTAGTGATATTGTCTCAATCGACAATATAAAAGACATGACCTCGGAGTAGTGGTATCATCTCATTTGACAATATCATATAAATGACTCTCCGGGTAGTGATATCGTCTCAATCGACAATATAAGTAAATAACCTTCAGGGTAAGAATATTATCATATCTGACAATATAATGTAGATAAATATCTTCCAGGTATCTTTAGTTGCTGGGAAAAAAAAAATATTTCTCTCTTCAAGGTTTTCTTTTGTCCCATCTCCGAACATAATTGCATGTTCATTATGGACTTCGCTTTGAATGGAATTGGATTAAATAATGTTATTCATATTCCAAAATCATTGATATAAGCAGCATAATCTATTTCCTATAGACCTGCATCCACAGAAAAATTGTTAGTTTAAAAACGAACTGATCTGTGTTGATCTCTTCGGTTGTCTACTCCTTGTCTTGCTATCTCCGGTTGATTTTTCTGATCTCCCGCTTCTTGATAGATAAGACAAAATATTTTTATGCAAATAACTTAATTATGAGGGAAAAGTTTTTTTAAGAAAAAATAGATTTTCAAAAGTAATGTTTGGAAAAGGTCACTGTCAAGTGTCATGTCACGTCAAGCTTGATGAACGCTATTTGGAGTTGATGTTTCGAGATCTATCTGATTACTAGTTGGGAAGTATTCAAAATTGCTCTAAACTGCCGATGAACCTTATTGAAATTTTTGAGGTCATCCTCAAAATTTCTGTCCCAGTTAACTGTCTTGGCTTATCTTCAAACGTTGATGAACAAACTATGGAATTTTTGAGATCCTCTCAATGTAAGCTCAGTCTTGACTATGTTGGAGAGATCTTCTTTTTGAGAATTTTTGAGTTCCTCTCAAAATTTTGTCCCGATTTCTATTGTAAAGGAAATAGAAATCTTACGAGAAATATGACCGAACCCTTGGGGTGCCTACGTATCCCGTTGAGACAGGAATCAGGTCAAACGTAGTTCCCCCATGAGGGTTAATAAAAATAAGAAATTTTACAAAAAAAACCGACCGAGGCCGACATAGGCCGCCTACGTATCTCATTCTTGAGAATTCAGGTCGAACGTAGTTCAAATACAAGGAAAAATATTAAAAGGGGATAAAAGAGTGACCGAGGCCGCATAGGCCACCTACGTATCTCATTCTTGAGAATTCAGGTCAGACGTAGTTCATATACAAGGGGTAAAATTTTAAACGAAGCGAATACAAGGAAACAGAACGATTACAAGGAAATGACAGAAAATACAAACAGAAATTTCACACATAATATCTCTTGACAGCGTCTGAGTTGATCAGTTTCGGCCATTCGGTGCCATCCATCTCTGACAGGACCAAGGCACCTCCAAATAACACTTTACGAACCATGTAGGGTCCTTGCCAATTTGGTGCAAATTTCCCTTTATACTCATCTTGATGAGGGAAATTGCGTTTGAGAACTAACTGACCAATTTCAAATATTCTGGCTCTTACTTTCTTGTGGAAAGCACGGATCATTCTCTGTCGATACAGTTCTCCATGACAAATAGCAACCATTCTTTTCTCATCAATCAACGTTAACTGATCAATCCGTTTGCGGACCCATTCGGCGTCGTTCAATTCAGCTTCTTGAATGATTCTCAATGAAGGTATTTCAACTTCTGCAGGTATAACTGCTTCTGTTCCATATACCAGCAGATATGGAGTAGCTCCAATTGATGTTATGACAGTCGTTCGGTAACCCAACAAAGCATATGGCAACATCTCGTGCCAACCTCTGCGATTATCAATCATTTTCCTCAAAATCTTCTTTATGTTCTTGTTGGCGGCTTCCACAGCTCCGTTCATTTGGGGACGATAGGCGGTTGACTTCCCGTGAGTAATCTTGAATTGTTTACATATTTCTCTCATCAAATGACTGTTGAGATTCGCTCCATTATCGGTGAAGATGGATTCTGGTACTCCAAACCTACATAT